CCGACACGAGGCTGAATGAGAAAATTTTGGGAATTTGGGGGTACATTCTAGGTCCAGGGTGGGGTGACATACAGTACATATACATAAGCTATCGTGTCGGTTCAGCCTCGTGTCGTTTGTGATGAAAGGGAATTCCCCCCCCCCCCGGGACAATTTTTTAAGCTGATGGAGGAAAACGGAAGTCTGTCTCTCTGTTTTCTCTCTCACTCATTCCTGGTCAGACGGTTCACAGTCTGGCACCATTCTTCCCCAGTGACACCAACTTCCTTTTTGTTGATTCACAGTGCTGTTGACTTTATAGATGGGCTTTGTGTCTCCTGGAGTATCTTGATATAGCGTCACAGAGATGTGGTGCAACAGTCTTGTCAGAAAGAGGAATCGGTTCACTGAGGTCCTGGCAGCGTGTATCCCGTCAGATAATAAAACTCGGAGACCCCTGAGTCACCAGTTTCTCCCCATGACTATACAGTGGTGCCTCGCTTAATGATCATCTCATTAAACAATGAATCTGCTTGACAATGAGATTTTTGCAATCGCTTTTGCGATCGCAAAATGATGTTTTAATGGGCAAAATTCACTTCCCGATGATTGGTTCCCTGCTTCGGGAACCGATTCTTTGCATTACGATGATCAAAACAGCTGATCGTTGGGTTTCAAAATGGCCGCCTGCTGTGCTTTAGGATGGATTTTCATTGCACAGGCATCGGAAAACGGCCGCCCTATGGAAGATCTTCGCTGGACGCTAAGGTATTTAGCCCATTGGAACGCATTGAGCGGTTTTCAATGCATTTCAATGGGCTTTTTTATTTCGCTTGATGACGATTTCGCTCTACAGCAATTTCGCTAGAACAGATTATCCTCGTCAAGCGAGGCACCACTGTGTGTCTGTCTGTCTTGTGCGCCACCAAGCTGATTCTGACTGTGCAGTTTGCCCAAGGCTACACAGGCTGGTGCTTCTCCCTGGAGGCACACTGGGGAATCGAACTCATAACCTAGGTTGAAGGATTGCAGAACAGCTACCGTTGCGGAACAAGTTCTTGCGTTGAATTACGTTCTGTCTCTCGCAGTGAACAAATATCTGCAATAGATACCAACTACAGATGTCCAGATATCTCAAGGGGGTTGGTGAAATGAATGCTATTTAAAAATTTAAAATACTGATCATTTTTTTGTGTGCTTTTTAATTCTAATTTAAGGATTTGAATTTTGCTTGAGGGGGGTTGGATGACGCCAAAAGGAGAAGTGGGGAAAGTGTACGACTTTCCCAGAGTTAAGAAAGGGGGATAATTAAGAAATGATGGCAAAAATATTTGGGAATGGGTGCTTTAAAAAGAGTATTGGGGCTGTTACTATGATGCTGTCATTTTATTTGTTTTATTACATTATTCCCCCCTCAATCCAGGCATGGAATCCTTTCTCCCAAAGGGGTAAGGATAGTATTGCAATTTGTAGGGCCGTGGAGCAACAACGGACAATCATCCTCCTCCCTCTCCCCTCCACACTTTTAGCTTTGCCGCATCTTTAACACAAGCTTCCTTTCAAGCAGGTGGATGTAGCCTGGCCTAACACCTGTGCTTAAGACTGCTGCTAAAAACATAAGGCAGAATTTAAAAAAAACAACAGCTACCTTAGAGCTACGTGGAATGCCTTTCGCTGGCTGAGATTGGTGAGACCCCTAGTCAGGTCAGGAGAGTTGAGTTTAATTCCTGAACCAAAGATACCCCCTTGCTTTTTTCCATCCGAGAATGGTATGGTAAATAAATTGAGCAGATGGGATATGTAAGAGGAAGAAGGTAGTGCTCTTCTTCTGTTAACGGATTCCGTCACATCTTTCTTGCAAGGAGCTCTCTCCACTGTATCTCACAACAACCATGTTAGGTAGGCCAGGCTGTTAAAATAACAACAACATTCCCATCTTGAGCTTCATGGCCGAGTCTGGTCTTGAAACAGGATCTCTTTTGGCCACTAGTTAAATCTACAGAAGTGAGCAGAATGCTGGTCTCTGGACATCGTTGGACTACAGTGCCCATGATCCTCTTCAGTTGGCCTGGCTGGCAAGGGCACATGGGAGCTGTAGTGGGAACAACCTCTTGGAAAGGCCACAAATTGCTCGCTACGGCTTTAAACCCACATTGCCTGGACGAGACAAACAACTTCCTATTTATTCTCTCCCCTAAATCCAGCCAGCGGATGTAAACTTCCTCATTTGTCTCTACCAATGCAAAGAGGCTTAAAAGCAACCTTCCTTGATGCACCTCGGCATAGATTCATTTCGAGCGGCTCATTCCCAGGTGGAAAGCTACAAAGGCCGCGGTCACCCGTCCGGTTCCCCGAGTGGAAAATTTTTAACTACCAAACAGTTTTAATTTCTTCTAATGGCCCCAAAGAAAAGGTTAGAGGAGGTGGTGGCAGCCGGAAAGGGAAATGTCACTTGCGTGCATCTTTAGAATGTGTTTGGGGTCATTACTTCAAGTGGAGGTCTCTCTATTTCAGAATTTTGCACCTTAGTGAAAAAGTACCATTTTTTTAAATTAGAACCTGTAGATTGGAGAGTTTGTGGTTACGGAGGGCAGAAAACAGAGCTGTGTTCTTTCAGAAGGAAAATGTTGCGGAAAAGGAGCCTGATCGCATAATACAGGAGGGGCGATTTGGTGGTGGTTTTTTTGGAAATGCAAAGAGGTTTGATTGCCAAAGTTGCAAAACAGGATGTTTCAAGCCGGCATTGTAAATGAATCTGTGTTCCCGTCCTCCCTTATAATCCACAATTATTGGCCCACTAATTTTCACCTCTCTTTTGAGCATGGGTGGAATACCAGATACATTCGCCAATATCAATGAAAATGCATCACATTAGCTTCAGCAAACTGCAGGTATCAGAGTCTTGTAGCTGCACATGTGGCGGTGGCAGTAGATCTATCGTGCAGAGAGGTTTTAAAGATTGCTGGAGCAGTATGTCGATCAGGTGTTATCAGCAGCAGATGTGTGTTACAGGAAAACATTACTTCCCCAACAGACTTTTCAACAAACGAGAAGAATTATTTTAGTTTATAGGAATGGGGTTTTTTTTTGAGGGGGGAAAGATATGGTTTCTTGACCCAAGCCATAGGAATACTTTTAAATATTAGGGAAGGGAGAATCTTGTCCACCCCCAGCTCCATGTCACCGTGATGTTCTCAAGCGCTTCCAGTTCGTTTGGAAGGCTTTAGAATTTAAAGCCTTCAGAATGTCGTAGTTTGAAGATTGTGTAAAACAGGGCATTGACCTGCTTTATGAATATCAACAAGAAACGCCAACGAAGCAAAAGCTAAAATAAAATTAAAAAGACAAAGACATTGAGGCCCCTGAAAGACCGACTGCTGTATTGTAAGGTGAGCTTTTGGGGAACAAGTCCACATCTCACGTTAAAATATAGCAGTTCGTCTTTAAGGTAATCCAACATCTTTCTCTCTCTTCTATGCTGGCACAGACTAACAGGTTAAACTGCTTACGAATGTCTTCAAGCGGCTTAGAAATGTCTTTGTGTTTGCTGCCCCCTAGTGGCAAAAGATGGCATGAGAGGGACTGATGGCTTTAAAAGGAAGCCACAGGCTTGCATTTAGAAAAGTTGAGGGCAAGACGTTGTGCAGAGCGCTCGTTCATGGGGTCGCCGTGAGTCGGAGGCAACTTGACAGCCCCATAACAGCAACAACTGGTATAAAACATCCTTCTCCTTCATCTTCTCTTAGGTACACGTATGAGGACTGCAAGCGGACAGCAGACTGGCTCCTGTCGAACACCAAGCACAGGCCCCGGGTGGCCATCATCTGTGGCTCTGGCCTGGGAGGGCTGGCTGACCTCTTGAAGGACCAGGTCGCTTTTGAATATTCCAAGATCCCCAACTTTCCTCAGAGCACAGGTAAAGAAGTCAACTCTGGGTGTTTTCCATCATTCGGAGCACAAGGGGGCAGCAGAGAGCAGCTACGATGGAGAAGATATAGCAATGGGCTCCCAATCTTGGGTCAACCTTGAGTCTTGGACTTCAGTTCCCAGAAACCCCCCTGAGCAGCATACCGGGTGGTTGAAGGCTTCTGGGAACTGAAGTCCAAGAACATCTGGGTGACCCAAGGTTGGGAGCCCATTGCCCTGTAGAACCTAGTGGCCAACAGGGAAGCCTCCATGCGTGGTTTAACCCTTTCCTTGCCTCTCTCCAGTTGTAGGCCATGCTGGGAGGTTGGTGTTTGGCAACCTCAGCGGGACGCCGAGCGTGGTCATGCAGGGCCGCTTCCACATGTATGAAGGCTACCCACTTTGGAAGGTGAGTCGTTCCACAGACCTGTATCCCCTTTCCAGAAACAAAGGGTGTCCCCCACCACTAAATGCCAATCGCAGAAGGGAATGAAAGAAAAATGCATAAATGACGAAGACAAAAACATGGTGGGCACCTTAAGGACTAGCTGCTATCTTTTAATGTGAGCTTTGCTAGACAAGGCCACTTCTTCAGACAACATCAAGAAGAAGTGTTTTGGAAAACTCAGAAGATTGTGATTTGGGGGACACTGTAGTGAACTCATAAAGATATTATTGAATTTTAAGACAGCCTTTGAACACATGCAAAATTCCTTGAATGGCTGTTAACGCCACCTCATCTGGGATTAATGGAAGAGTCCTCCAAGATACGTATTCGTGAAGGCTTTCACGACCGGGATGTAATGGTTGTTGTGGGGTTTTTGGGCTCTTTGGCCGTGTTCTGAAGGTTGTTCTTCCTAACGTTTCGCCAGTCTCTGTGGCCGGCATCCTCAGAGGACAGCACTCTGTGCTCTGGTGTAGTTGGCTTGGGAGTGCAGTATTTATGGCTGTGAGATAGGCTTTTGTCTTTTTCTGTAGATGGGTGATTAGTGTGTCTTGTTGTGGGTGTATTGTTGTGCTAAGGAGAAGAGATTATCTGCCATTGTGGTGACAGTCCTCCAAGATTTTGCCATTTTCCACTTGCTATAGAACAGTGGTTCCCAACTTTTGAGTTCCCTGGTTGTTCTTGGACTATAACTCCCAAAAGCCTTCCCCCACCAGCTGTGCAGGCCAGGATTTATGGGAGTTGTAGTCCAAGAACATCCAGGGACCCAAGGTTGGAAACCACTGCTGTAGATTTTAAAGGATGAGCTTTATGGAACACCGGAGGAGTGTACTGCTTGGCGTGCTGGAGTAGGACTGCGGAAAACTGGGTTTAAGTTCCTGATCAATGGCAAAAAATATGCATGAGTGACATGGAGACAGTCCTATTCTGTCTTGTATCCTCTACTTCACAGGGACTCTGAAATAAAGAATCGTAGATTCATCTTGCTCTTATTAGGTGAAGGGTGGGATCAAACACAATAAATACACAAAATTAGTAGAACATATTTAGGTAAGCCATTAGTTGCCACTTTGCTCCTCTCTCCTCATTGGCAAGTATGGGAATAGCAGTCATCGGCTTTGAGATAAACTGTGCAGAACTTAAAATGTGTTAAAATAAATGTTATGCAAGGGTAGCAATTCACTTGTAGAGTAGAACCCCTGTACCCATGGGGGATAGCCTCTCCCCACGATGCTGAAAAATGCATATTCTAGCAAATGCTATTTTAATAGCCACGCTCTACATACCTAGGTTTCTGCCTCCCTCTAGTGGCTAGTTCTGGGAACATCAGCTTTAGAAATCTATATTTCTAGGATTTTTCTTTTAATATTTTCAGACTGTGGATAAGGGAATCAGTGGATACTGATGCCATGGACATAGAGGTCCTAACGTACTTTCATTTGTCATATATTTTATATATTATATAAAATTTATGACAAATGTAAGTGTGTATATTTTGACGAAATGGTACAATTCTCTTCTTTGAGTGCCAAAAGAACTGGCCTTTAGATACTGTGTGCTTTGACAAGGAGTAGGAGGTGTGGGAAGCAGTTTGTCATTTTGTGCCCTGCCTTAGGCAGCAAAATATCTTGGGTCAGCTCCACCCCGCTTACCGGGCCGTCTTCTGGAAGTAGATGGATATGATAGATTTGGGCAAAGACTCCCTTCTGTAGTCGTTAGGTGGGCACCATAATATTCTTCAGAAAATCCGGTGGTTATGTTGGCAGGGAGCCATGGACTTTACGTGCTCCTCTCGCTTCGGTCTTATCCATGACATTGGATCCCGTCCTGGATTTCATTCGCAACCTTGATCAGAGGTTATAGGGAAGTAACCCCAGACCCCTAATTGCTAATATGCTATGCTAGCTTTGGAATTGAACTCCCCGACAGGAACTTTTTTCAGGTTCAAGGGTAGAGTCAGGGTGTGATTCTTTCAGAAGATCCTCTTTTTTCTTCCCACTTCTGGGTGCTGGAAAAGGACCCCTTTCAGCCTCTCATCAATCCTGCTTCTGTTTCCCTTTTTTCCAGGTGACCTTTCCGGTCCGAATCTTTCACCTTCTTGGCGTGGAGACGCTCATCGTCACCAACGCCGCCGGAGGACTGAACCCTGAATACAAAGTGGGGGACATCATGATTATCCGGGACCATATCAACATGCCTGGCTTTGCTGGGCAAAACCCCCTGGTGGGGCCCAATGATGACAGGTGAGGAAAGAGGGGGAAGGCGGCGTTCTCACTTTCCCTTTGGCTCTCTGTCCCACCAGTGTTCTGTCTCTATGGTTGTTTCTACGGCAACAGCTCAGGCCTAGTATATTTAGGAGCAAGGAGTGAGGGACATCTTGGTCCACATTGTCAGGGGTAATCTCTCGAGGTCCATGTGCTAGTGATGGGCGGAGCCAGCCCCCAAAGTGGGCGGGGACACCTCATTCCTTCTTGAAAGTCTTTGGTTCCAAGTCCCGAGTTCCAAACCCTTAGTCCAAGTCTCTGTTAACAATGAACTTTTTTCCTCATAAAAAAAGGGAGGGCTGGGTAGGTTCTGAGTCTCGTGTTGAGTCACCAACAACTCAGAGTTGAGTCTGCGACTTAATTTATTTATTTATTCAATGTACTGTATATCTGCTCGTAATAGTGCCAAGCAACTCCTATGGGTGGTTGCAACAAATATAATACAAAACAAACAAACAAAGCATTAAACACAACTACAATTAACCCTTAAAACAGATGGCGCAAAGCATTAAAAACAACTACAATTAATTCTTAAAACAGATGGCGGAAAGGGAAAAGAAAGCAAAAAAATCGGACTTGACAGCAAGTCCCACCTCCCCAGTCCCCCTTCCTGCTTCTTTTCTCCTTTTAAATCAAACCAGAGCAGACCGCGGAAAGGGAAAAGAAAGCAAAAAAATCCGACTTGATAGCAAGTCCCACCTCTCCAGTCCCCCTTCCTGCTTCTTTTCTCCTTATTCCTGTCCATCAAGAGGTAGACGGGTGGGGAAGGCAGGTGGCTCTTTTCCAGAAGTCTAAGCCACAACGTGAAAAAACTAATTTCTTTTTTAAACCACAGATCTAAAAATGTGTGATTTGCCAAGATGGCTACTGGCCATGTTCTCTGGGGGACTCCAGGAATTGTAATCCATGGAAGTAATTTTTCCAAGATCCGGATCTGTTACAAAGGGCTTTTAAAATGCCTTGAGGGCTGCGCTGACCCAAGGCATTTCCCTGCCTGAGGCAGAGCAGCTTCTTCCTGTCCATCACAAGCTGTAGTTTTACACAAATTAGTTTTACACAGGAGGAAGAAAACCTCACAAGTTTTCTTGTTCCACTTTCAGACAGGAAGAAGTAAAATAGCAACAAACATTATCAGGAAAAAAATTTTTTTGCTATTCTTCTGGGACACACAAAATCAGCTCCCTCAGCTGACTGGCTGCTTCCCTCTGCCTCATGGAAGGGCCGGTCCAGCCTTTTAAACCTGCTTTCCCCTCTCCCTTTCTCTTTACTAGGTTTGGGGCACGTTTCCCACCCATGTCCGACGCCTACAGCCAAGACCTGAGGAAACTGGCGCACGCGGTGGCCTCCGAGATGGGCTGCAGCGGGTGCGTGCGGGAAGGCGTCTACGTGGCCTTGGGAGGCCCCAGCTACGAGACGATCGCTGAGTGCCGCTTCCTTCAGCACCTGGGCGCCGATGCCGTAGGTCAGTCAGGGGTGTGTGTGAAGAGTTAAGGAGAAATACTGGTAAAGAGGAAAGACGTGCTGGCAGGAGATGGGCCAGCGTTGTTCAAAAGTAGCTCGAGTATTTCCCCTGTGCCTGTGTAACAGAAGTAAATTTTGAGTTGTACTGCGTAATAAAAGCTGAGAAAGTGAGCCGATTGTGGAGAAGGACTTGAGCGATATCTGGAGTTAGCGATGGGATTAAGTTGAACGGCTCTGCTCCCTAAAGTGTCAAAACATCATACAAGGGCATGATCATGCCCATCTTCTGAAGGTGCTCCTCTAATTCTTGCTTGTTTTCTCCGTTTCTCCAGGCATGAGCACGGTGCCGGAAGTCAAGTTGTAGTAAATACACCTGCGTAATAACAGCTTAGAAAGTGAGCTTATTGTGGAGAAGGAAGTGCAACAGGTCTATAGAGCCTGTGTCCTGAGCACACTCCTGTACTGCAGTGAGTCCTGGACCCTTTGTGCACGGCAGGAGAGGAAGTTGAATATGTTCCATATGCATTGTCTCCGACACATTTTTGGTGTCTCCTGGCAGGACAAAGTTACAAATAGAGTAGTCCTATATCGAGCTGGAATTTCCAGCATGTATACATTACTGAAACAGCGACTTCTGCGTTGGCTTGGGCATGTCGTGAGAATGGCTGATGGCCAGATTCCAAAAGATCTCCTGTATGGAGAATTAGTGCAGGAAAATCACCCCAGAGGGAGACCGAAGCTGCAGTACAAGGATATCTGCAAGTGGGATCTGAAGGCCTTAGGAATGGGCCTCAACAGATGGGAAACCCTGACATCTGAGCATTCAGCCTGGAGGCAGGCGGTGCATCATGGCCTCCCCCACTTTGAAGAGACCCTTGTCCAGCAGACCAAGGCAAAGAGGCAGTCCCGGAAGCAGCCAAATCAGGGAGCTGGACAGGGGACAGATTGTATTTGTCTTCAGTTTGGAAGGGATGGTCTCGAATTGACCTTCTCAGCCACACTAGACACTGTTCCAAGTCCTCGATACAGAGCACGTTACCATGTCTCTTGAGACTGAAGGATGCCTAATAATAATAATACTTGAGTGATATCTGATCCTTCACATGTTATTTTCCTACAGGAGGGAGTTAGTGGTGGGATTAAATTGAACGGCTCTACTCCCTAAAGCGTCAAAACATCATACAAGGGCATGATCATTGTGCCCGTCTTCTCAAAGTGCTCCTCTAACTCTTGCTTGTTTTCTCTGTCTCTCCAGGCATGAGCACGGTGCCGGAAGTCATCGTGGCCCGCCACTGTGGCATGGGCATCTTCGGGTTCTCCCTCATCACTAACAAGGCCGTCTTGGACTACGAGAGCAAGGAGACCGCCAACCATGCCGAGGTGCTGGAGGCGAGCCGCCAGAGCGCCCGCACCCTCGAGAAACTGGTCTCCCTCATGGTGCAGCGCATTGAGCGGAACAACAATCTGGCATAACATACGGGGTGCAGCCCAGCTCCCTTGCCATCAGCTTCTTAAAAAGAGGGACCGGCCATCGCCTTAGGGTGAAGGATCCCTCGTGCATGCCCGGGCAAGAAGAATATGTTCAACCTCCCTTCCATCTTCATCACCTCACCCCCAAAGAGCTGTCCATCTCACATCCTGCTCCTACATTTTCTGCTGTCCTGTGGTGCCCCGTTGATTCGTTCTGCTACGGTGCGACCGTGGGCCCTCAACGGACTGTCCTTCCATGACTCTGTTGGATATCTAGCCATGATCTGTCCATCTCTGTCCTTGAGTGATATCTGATCCTTCACATGTTATTTTCCTACAGGAGGGAGTTAGTGGTGGGATTAAATTGAACGGCTCTACTCCCTAAAGCGTCAAAACATCATACAAGGGCATGATCATTGTGCCCGTCTTCTCAAAGTGCTCCTCTAACTCTTGCTTGTTTTCTCTGTCTCTCCAGGCATGAGCACGGTGCCGGAAGTCATCGTGGCCCGCCACTGTGGCATGGGCATCTTCGGGTTCTCCCTCATCACTAACAAGGCCGTCTTGGACTACGAGAGCAAGGAGACCGCCAACCATGCCGAGGTGCTGGAGGCGAGCCGCCAGAGCGCCCGCACCCTCGAGAAACTGGTCTCCCTCATGGTGCAGCGCATTGAGCGGAACAACAATCTGGCATAACATACGGGGTGCAGCCATCAGCTTCTTAAAAAGAGGGACCAGCCATCACCTAAGGGCGAAGGATCCCTCGTGCATGCCCGGGCAAGAAGAATATGTTCAACCTCCCTTCCATCTTCATCACCTCACCCCCAAAGAGCTGTCCATCTCACATCCTGCTCCTACATTTTCTGCTGTCCTGTGGTGCCCCGTTGATTCGTTCTGCTACGGTGCGACCGTGGGCCCTCAACGGACTGTCCTTCCATGACTCTGTTGGATATCTAGCCATGATCTGTCCGTCTCTGTCCCTGTGGGTGGGTGTGACTCTCTTTCTCTGTTTCTCTCCATCTCCATTTTGCCCGTTCCTATATTTTCCTCTTGCTCTTTTTCTTTTGTGCCAGGGCATTGTCAACATTTCCAGTCCTGGCTAGCGGGAGCTTTCGACCCCGCTGCTCTGCGTCTTTTCAGCTTCTTAAAACGTTGGCATGTAGAGAACCTGCTTCTAAAACTCTTGAAGACCTTCCCCTTCCCATTTCAAAATGGCTGCTCGCTGGTCAGCAGGTTTGTTGGGCAGGACCTGGCTAATGAATTTATCCTGCGCTGCTCGTTCGTTCCTAAAGTCCAAGATTCTGACACCTGAAACATAAAGAGTTGGGTGGGATGGCAGAAGTCATTGGGCGTGACCTCTTGGAAGCTAACGTGTGGTTTCCTTTGAGGCACGGCGTAAGCGGTCTCTAATTGATAGACAGTAGCTTGTTTGAATTTCAGGTTCAAATTGTGAAGTTCATGTCCATTTGTCCCTCTTGGGGGTCCACATGTTACCCCTGTTTGTCTCTCGTCTTCTCCATGGCTGTCAGTTCTTCACGCTTCCTTTGGGGGAGGTCCTTGTGGCAAGGAACGTTTCTCCCTTGAAAAGGGAGCAGTCCTCGCTCTGTATAACAACACCTTGGCCCCAAAGTGGGTAAGTCCTTTGGACTCCACCTATCCAGGCTCTTTCTCAGCCCCTAGGTTCTACTTTTGTGTAATAAGCAACTAGCGCCTTGTTCCCACAAGCCGTTCCCACAATGTCTTCAAATTGTGGATGGGAGGTCCTATGCTCAATTGTCCCTCCATGCAGGACACTGAGAACTAAGGAATCCCCACAGGTAGAAAGTTAACGCATCAGGGAGAAGACTGGATTAGAACACCGATGTATTTGCTTTCTCTAGGCAGAGTTAATTTTGTTCCTGTGGTTGCATATCTTATGATGAGAGTACCCTGAGGGAATGGGTTTTTTTAAAAAAATATTTCTTGGACTACAAAGCCTATAGTCCTGCATTCCTTGGAATTCCGCCTGACAGACAGACACCTAAATGTGATGCACCTGAGAGAAAAGAAAGACATCAACTGGGAGGTTTTGAGGGGAGTCCTAGCTCTGCCTAGTTTCTTGTTCAGAAAGTAAGTTCCCAGCTAGCACTGGGGCAGGAACAGGAAGCTGACGTGGAGCTAGGCCGAGCTTTCCAGTCGAGTCCTGTTCGGCCAGGTGAGCCACATGTAAGAGGTACCTGTCGGAGAGAACTCCCAGAAGGGAGAATTGTGGGATTTGTGATCCAAAAAAGAAAACAGTCCCCTACCATGTGCCCACCTGCCATCTGAAATACTTCTATGACCTTAATATTTGTAAGAAGTTGGGTTTGTAGTCTCAGCTGAGGACCCTTTGCTGTGACTACAGCCAAACCTTTTTGTTCAGCCTAACGGGATGGGTGTCGAGGCTTCACCAATCAAAGGGGTAACTTTATATGTCTCCGTCCTCAGAACTGGCATTCTGAGTTCCTAAACCGACTACCTTCCTAGTTTGGATTTCCAGTAGAAGTGGCTGTTTGGCTTTTTTCTAAGTGATGCCTGCTGCCGCCAGTGGGATCGGCCGGTGTATTTGCAGTTGCTGTACAACAGGCTATGCATATGGACCCTTTGTGCAACCCTGTGTTATTTCAGATCTTGGAAGTGGAGGCAAACTGGTCATCAGAGGGCAATGTGATCTTCTCCTGTATGAAGAGTGAAACCAAGAGCAAATATCCCACCGTAAGACTGTGCCTTGCTAGAGCAGGATTGATGCTAGAGTAGCTTTCTTTCTCCTCTCCCTATGATGGGGCAGCTGACATTTGTATCTGACTGGAACAGTAGCTATTTTAAAATCAGACAAGGAAGCATCAGAGCCTATGGAGAACTCAGTGTTTTTTTTTAAAGCACCGGTGATCAGCCAAGCCTGTTCCACCTTCTAACTTAACAAGGCCCTGCTGTGTGTACTGCTGCTTTCTTGATGAAAAATCCAGGATCCAATGGCTTTTTCACTTGCTTACAGTGAACACCAGTCTTTTGCTTTCCTGAATGATTCGCCTTCTGGAAAAGTAGTACAGGAACCCGTGTGGCTGTAATAGGAAGAGGAGGAGAGAGGAGGAAGAAATGACACCTTACGAGAACGCTCATGGTGTGGGAGAGCTTCATAGTCGGGCTGATGAGATGAGTTCTGGGTTGCCAACTGACCCAGCTTGCTCTGCTCTTGTGCCTTTCACAGCCGCTTTATGTAGCAGACCATTGGCAAACGAAGCATTCTAGAGTGTGGAGATAAATCACCCACCACCACTACTCGTGATGATCAGGGCTATGTAGTCCAATAGCATCTGGGCAGCGATGTACTGTTTTGCCCTGCAAATCAAATGCTTGTTTTTTTCCCTGCAGGAAAACGGGCAGTGGGAGTCTGGTCTGGCCTGTGGTATAAATGCATGGAGATGATTTTCTGTGGAACTGTAAACAGAGCAAACCTTCCATGCTCGTATGCCATTTTTGCATCCGGCTTCTCCATCTATTTTGTATGGAAGGTACGGATCCTGGTGGGGGTGGCTTTTTCCCACAAAGGCGTTTTCCCAGCGCCGCTTCTTCGCTGCTCTGTGTCTATCTTCAAAAAGCCTGCCCTGATTTCCACTTGGAATTTCTCTTTCTAGTCTCCCTTTCTGTCCTTCCTCATCCTGTGCCGATATCAGCGGACCAAAAAATATATATAAAAATTCCACCCTACAGCTTTGCAAAAGGCAGCTTCTGAATGTCAGGGAATCAGAGATGGAGAAGAAGACACCTCACAACCGAGAGACAACTGCGCTCAGATCCATGCAGAGGACCTGGAGGCCTCAGCTGTTTTAGAAGGATATATAAATATCTCTATTTTTTTAGAGGAGCGTCAGCATTCTGCACTTTTTATTTTTATTTAAACATATGAAGGCCTGGTTTAATAATTATGACTAAATAATAAAGTAAACTGAAATGGCGGTTTGGCTTTTTATTGGTCTGTGTGTTGGCTAGGAAGACTTAAAAGTGGTGTAAGTTTTTCCTGGAGGGGACTTTTCTTGGTGCGATTTTGGTCATTGCAGACCAAAATAAATAAATAAAAAGAAAGAAAGAAAAAGAGCTACAAACATCCATAATCCCCATATCCATGCTGTGCAGGGGATTTTGGGATTTGTAGTTCAGAAGAAGACTTTCCCTAAGTGCTGAGTCCCTAGCTAATTTGATGCTATGATTGAATCCAGTTTAGAAGTGAGACCTATCCATATCCTGGATCCTGAGCTCTCCAAAACGATTGAAGAGGAGCAGAATGGAAAGGATTTCAGATCCAGACCATTGCTTTTTAAAGAGTTCCTGTTTGTGGTACATTTTAATGTTCAGACAGTCCTCATGACCTGTTTTTATATTAACCAGAGTCCAACGGGTGGTCCAAAAAATGCAGGAAACGATATTGGTCTGGGTCAACAAGAGAGTTCTTTGCCTGCATGAGCAGGTCTTTTATAAGGCAAATAGAATTTAATTGCCTATTCAAGTCTGAATGATGCCCGTATAAAAATATTTATCAGATACTTCATCACAGTCTATTTGGGATCGTGGGAATCCATAACTCAAAAGGGAAACCATATTTGACCAGATTGGCAGGGTACAAATTAAACAAACAAACAAAGGAAGGTGGAAGACTACATCCTTGTCACTCCCTCTTCTGAATTCTGAGCTTTTAGCTTTTTTCTTTCGTTATTTCTCAGTGCCGTTGTCAATATATTTGTATATTTTATTCATTAATATTACGCTTTTGATGGAGCCATAGTAGACCAGGAAACTAACTGCTCTAAGTTTCATGAAGAAGAGATGGCTGGTGGCCGTAGTCAGTGGCTGTGTATACTGGAAGACCAGCTCAGTGGTGGGAAGGAGCTGCGGGAGAGGGTTATTATTTCCACTTTACTTTCTTTCTTGTGGGCTTCCTGGAGCATCCATGTGCCACTTGAGGTCACCGAATGGTAGAACAGGTAGACATCAGATCTTATCCATCATAGCTTTCTTAAGAGCTGCGCTTACTGCATCAAAACAAAGCACATGCAATGGACAGCAATTATTTCACAAGCTAAAACCAT